ATTAATTATACAGTTAATAAGGGAAATATGTTAATGGAAGGAGCGTTATTCATCCAGACCACCTGCCTTTACCAAATATCTTTTGTGTGTTTCTCTTCTCTTTGTAAAAAAAAAAAAAGCCACAAACGACAATGTGGTGATTTAAACACCCGCCTGCCAGGCGGTGGCCACGTCCATTAACACAAGTCTAAAGAAAAATTAATTCAATTTTACGATATTCCCACTAATTTCTGTCTTTTAACCGTGGAAAATATCTGCCCCTGACATTTTAAACTCTGAAATAGCTGTTGATCAAACAACATTTCCCACTGAGGTGTCTTACTTGTCCCGATGATTTGTCACCGTCGGGGAGAAGGGAGACGCCGGGGCCGGGAGGGCTGCGGGCGGCGGGAGGCGCGTTTCACTCACTCTAAATGGACTAAACTCTCCTAACTCCTTCCTCATACCTCTTCAACCTCTTGCTTAGTAGTCGCTGAATCCCGTCATTCCACGTGGATAATGAAAGCTTGATCTCAGAGGGTCCAGCACAGACGCCCACGGCGGCCGCACGCGGACAGCGAGGCCTCGGACACTCGGGCGTGGAGCAGCAGGATATTCAACCCGAAGTATTCCACTGAAGAGAAAACCGACTTGCTGAAGTTACATTTCTGTTTACTCTTTAAAACTCGCAGGGCAGCAGGAAAGATGCCTTTCCGTGCAAATATCTGCCTCACAGCAAGAGTTCACGAACACGCAGTCCCGGCCAGAAGCGAGAGTCCCGGCCTCAGCTGCGCTCCTTCGACAAGCGCAGGGACCTTCTCCGTGGGTTAAAAACTTCACTAACGGGCAAAATTCAGTTGGAAATCAACCTTCGGCCCCAAAAAGTTGATGGAGAAGGCGGGGAAAGAGATGAGCGGAAAGGCGGTTTTAAGAGAACCCAATTCTGAGAAGATTTTACGCAAGCGCGTCCGTTCTGGGGGAGAATCTGTTAGCCGAGTCCCGTGTCGGCGACGTCCAGGCGCCAGCGGGCGGTTTCCTCAGGGCCCTCCCCGGGGCTCTGGGCAGCGGTCGTGTGCCCGCGAGCCCGGCGTCCAAATGGCATCGGCCCAGGCCCTTCCACGGTGCCCACAGCCTCCTAGCGGCCAAGCGCGGGTCACGAGCCCGTCTCCGCCCATGGCATGAAGAGCCCAGTGCGCGCCCTCCAGCGCCCAGCGCCCCACACAGCGGCGGGAGGGGGCTGCCTGGCACCCCAGGCTCCCTGAGGGTGGGGTGTCCTGGGCAGAGGCCGCCACCTCCCCCTGGAGACGCAGACGTGCCCCTGCCTCTGCCGCGCGCCTCAGGAAGGACAGGAACCCCCTGGGAGCGGCCGCGGCCCACCCGGAGCCCCAGGCCTGCTCCGCCCAGCTCGCGCCCCGGTGGGAAGCGCCGCTCTGGTTGCAGAAACAGCAGGAACCCGAGGGCGCGCAGTGGGGCAGGACGCCTCAGCGCCAGCGGCTCCCACCTGCGGCAAGAGCCCAAGATCCTTCGCCTTTCCACCCACCAGACCCGCAGAGGGGAACGCGGCCCAGAAGCGCCTCTCCTGCTGGCCCGGCCTCGCCACGCAGCGCAAGCGCAGAAACGTGCCGGAGAGCGAGGACATGAGCCCCTGCAGCGGCAGCGGCGCCCCCACGCCTCACGCGGCGCCCGAGGCAGAGAGGTGGTGACCCGAAGTCATCCCCATTTTGGGGGTGAAAATCAGAGAGGACGGGCAAATGCATGTTTCTGTTTTTTCCCAGCTCACCCGTCAGTCCTGCCATGAGCAGGGCTGGCCTCCAGGGGTGCATGGGGGCCTCCTCGCCCCAACTCCTGCCCTTCAGGCGGGCAGAGCACCACTGGACACTCAGAGCTTCCTGCTCCCACGGCTGGTCCCCATCACTGACACCGGGTGCTGAGGCTCCGGCCCCCGCCTGCCCACCCGCCCCCGCCGACACCCAGGGGTGCCGAGCTCCTGTGCCTGCGCCGGGAAGGGTTTGGCGGCAAGGGCGGTGGCACGCGGGGCGTCCTGCATCACACACCAGCCGCGCAACTGCAGAGCAGAGGGGCCGACTCTTGTCCTGGGATCCTCGCAAACACACGAGCAAACGGAAGGGCAGGGAAGAGGGCCTCCGACACGTGGGCCCAGTGTCCACGCGGGGCCTTTAGGGAGACCCTGCCACGCAGGAGGACGGAGGTGGATGAGAGACCCCACCCCCGTGGGCCACAGGTCGCCCCAAGGATCAAGGCTCCCGGGGACAATTTTCGGGAGGAAGTGCACGAGGGGGTCCTGGCTGCACGACGGCCCCGAGATGCCAGGGCCACGGCCCCAAGGCCTTGGGGGGCTGCTGTGACGAAGGTGGCGACATCAGGGCGCGGAGCCAGCCCTGTCTGGGCCGAGGCCACAAGCCCGGAGACCCGTGGAGGACGCGTGTCCACTGTCGGGCGTAGGACCAAGGGGCAGCTGCACGGGGGCAGCGTCCAAAGGGAATGAAACGGAACAGGTGCCGCCGAGAGCGGGCCCCTTGGGCAGTGGACGCAGCGGTGGACTGGACGGGACATCAGGCAGCGCTGCAGGGGGCCGCGGGGGCCGGGGTGGGGACGTGCCTGCGACGCCGGGCAGCGGCTAAGAGGGACGGGAGCTCTGAGGAGACGGGGACGGGGGCCCCGGAGCCGCACGGAGCAGCGATGGGCCGTTGCTGCTGGACCAGACGGGAGACGGGCACAGGCCACGGCCCCACGTCACCCGCGGAACCCCGGAGAGCACAGGCGGTGGGGATGGGCGGTGACCCGCGGCGGCCGGGGCCTCAGCCTGACCAGGAGCCGGCGTCCTCGTCCGCCTACGTGCAGGGCAGGCCTCGGGAGGCGCCTCGTCACGGCAGCGCACAGAGCGGGGCCTGGCCCCCGGGCAGACGCACACCCAGCCTCGGGCAGCACGTGGCCAAGTGGCCTCCCGTCCAGCATCCCGGTCGCGAGTGGGCCTCCGGCAGGCGGGAGCACAGATGCGCAGCCTCCCAGGGCCGGCCCGGGTCGTGCGGCAGCCACATCTTGTGGGGGCAGCCGGTGCCGGGAAGGCCGCTGCTGAGCTGGGGCAGCTCCTCCCGGCCTCGCCTCGCCCCGTCCCCCCGCTTGGGAGCAGCGGCCTCGGAGCAGTGGCCGTGCTCTGCCCGGGGAGAGGAAGCCGCGTCGCGCGCCGGCTCTGAGCCCCGGAGGCCACTGCTCGCCCAGCAGGGAGCACGCGCCGGCACCCAGGGGTCAGGACCACACCCCACCCTGTCGCTGGCCCCAGAGCCGCCGCAGGGCCCTGCAGTGCCGCACCCCTACTGCCCTGCTCCGTCTGCCGGGCCACGGCTCTTACCCGATGGCCCCCGCCCCTGGCCCCTCAGTCCCGAGAGCCAGCGGGGACAGCGTGAGGCCAGCGGGGCAGTGGGCCCCGCGCTCCGAGGCACGGCTCCCTGGGGGACACGCGGTGGGGCGGGAGCCGCCCACGCCTGGGTCCTGCAGGAGGACGCGCGAGGCCTCGGCCCGTCCCGGTCACTCCCGCCACGCCTGCCTCCTGCCCGGGGCCTGGGGTGGCCGCCGCCCCCCACGGGCCGGCCGGGTTCTGGCGCTGTGCAGCCGGCGGGCTCCCAGGGCGGGCGTGCGTGCGGGGCGTGCAGGGCAGACGCGCCGCAGCCCTGAGGCGAGGGGCTCCGACCGCAGCGTGGGGCGGACAGTGTCCCGGCCAGACGGCGTTTAGTGTCCTTTTGGACTTGAGAGCCTCGCTGTCACGCGGGAGCCCCAGAGGTGCCGCGGGGCCGGGGGAGGCCCTGGGCCGAGGCGTCCTGCGGTGACAGCGCCATGGCCCCCGTGTGGCCGCGACAGAGAATCCCCTGAGAGCCGAAGCTTTGGTCAAATGTCCTCTTCTGGGCGGGATAAACAACCAAGGGTCCTCGGGCGAGTCGGCGTCGGCGCGTCCCACGTCAGCGGCTCACACGCAGGCCCGCAGCGCCCGGCTGGGACACCCAGCTCCCTTGGCAGCCCACGCCACGCACAGACTCCCAGTGGGCGTGCCCTCGTCTGTCCACACAGCCTGCACCCCCTTCCTGCCAGCCGGCCAGGACCCCGGAGGGGAGGGAGCTGCACTGTGCACAGGCCGTCCGGCAGCCTGACTGGGCGCCACGGGCAGCACCACCTGCGGCCTGTCCCTGAGGCCGGACAAGAGCCCTCCCGCGGGAAAGGAAGGTCACGCGTCCTCACGGCCACACCCGGGAAAACCACCCTCCAGTCGAGTCCAGCGGCCTCCCCAGCCCTGAGCCCCCCATGGCGGAGGGACGCCCACTCTGAGGCCCACGCCTCCAGCCACTGGCGGGGAGGGGCTGCCCGGCAGGCCGGGACGGGAGGCCTCGGGGCGGGGCTGGCTCCACGCTATGGACGCCTCCTCGGCCAAACCTGGTGAGACTGTGGGCGGCCAGCAAGGCGCACGCTCCGCGGTCGGCCCACCTCGGGGTGAGCGGATGGGAGGGTCCACCTGCACACGAGCAAGCAGAGGACCCTCGTCCCCCCATGGGGAGCCTCTGCCCAGGGGCCAGAATGCTCTGACCCTCTGTCCCAAGCCACTTCCAGGTACGGGCCACACTCGAGGGACACTCATCTCCCCAAATGTGGGGGGGCCCGCAGGGACTGAGGGGGTATGGCTGCTGCCCGAGAGTCGCAGGCTAAGGGAGCTGTGCACACAGCAGGCGCTCACAGATGCGCGTCCCTACCACTGCAGGCGCCGCCCAGGACGCGCGCGATGCACGGGGTGGCAAGCCCAGCGGGAGGGGCAGGGCCCACGGGCTCACCCGCTGAAGCAGCAGGGCTGGCGGGGCTGGCTCCTGCCCTGCGGTCAGCTCCTTGGGACGCATCCTCATACCCGTGGTCTCCCGTGCCGAGGCTGCACGGGCAGGGAGCGGGCGTGGCCTCTCCCCGCCACTCCCCTGGAAGACAGGGGGCCGCACTTCCCTGGGCAGAGCGCGCAGCGAGCTTACCAGCACCATGTGGCCAGTGGAGATGTCCATGCTGGACGGCACGGGCTCCTCAGACCAGGAGGAGGTGCTGCTCCGGGCGGAGGGGCTGGGCCCTGGCCCATCGCTGAGCTGGGACGAGACGCTGCTGATGCGGGACGCATGTGGGGCCTCGGGCCGGTCACTCGCGCGTGTGGTCATGCGCTGCCGGCACAGCTCCTGCAAGACAGGGGGCGGTCAGCACTGCCTGGGCAATACGGGGGGCGGTCAGTGCCGCTGGGCGAGCTTCCTGCCGCCTTCTCACCCCCTGCCATCGGAGCGCCAAGGTGCAACTCGTGCTCGGTGCACGCTGCACGCACAGGGCACACGCGCACAGAAGGCACGCGGGCACACACAGCACACGCTCCTGCGCGCACACATACTCAGGACAGATGTCCCTGGAGGCTCTGCCCCGGATGCCTCCCTCCCTGGGGCGCGGGCCGTGGGGGGCGGGGGGGAGGGTTACCGACACGGCGGGGGGCTGAAGCGCAGAAGCGTGTGGCGGGGCGCTGCGTGGAGCGGCCACCCTCCCGGCTCTTCTCTCTTTTCCCTAAAGCAACTTCCAGACGAGCGAGAGCTGAGAGAACTGAGGACCCACATATAGAGCACCGCAGAGCGGACTCCTGGGCCATGCGGCGAGGGCCCGGCCCCCGTGAGGTGGGAAATCTGAGTGTGACGCGGCCCCGCCCCTCACCGCCCTGGCAGCCCTGTCCACGCGGCCCACTCCGCGGGGACACGCCTCCCGGGCAGAGCCGCCAGTCACGCATCAGCGCACCCCCGGAGGCGGCCACGCGCCATGGGACCCCGGGAGGGCAGCGGCTCAGGCCAACGGCCGGGCCAGTGGCCCCCAGAGCTTGGTCTCACCGGCTGACAGGCGGCTGCGAGGCAGCGACTTGAAAAATGCACCTGATTTTTCTCAGACTCCTCAGAACAAACAGGAGCCAGGCTCGCGGTGGCTGCGGCAGGTCGGGCATCGCAGTGGAACAGGGCGGAAGCCGCTCTAGACAAGAGAGCAGCCCAAAGCCCCCAAAGGCCAAAAACCAAAACCAAGGGATCTAGTTACACGATGGGCCGCCGCAGCCAAAGGACACTGCCCAACAGAGGACAGGTCACCGTCTGTGGGTCTCCCCGCACACAGCTGCAGGAGCCCTCAGGCTCCGGAACAGCCACCCTGGGGTGCATCTTACAAACAGGGACACAGAACACTCAGTGTGGCCACAGGTGGCGGCCGCCTCCCCCAGAGAGTGTCAGGGATGGTCGCCACCGGTCACCAGGAGGCTGGACAGCACTGGCCAGTAGGGATGGTCACCACTAGCCCCCTAGGGCGGCGTCAGAGACACCCAGTGTCACAGCTCCGTGAGAGGCTGGATGGCATCAGCAACAGCAGGTCTTTGGGACGCCAGGCCGGGGCCTCTGGTGCCCCTTTGAGGCCGGGGAGACAGGACTGAGGCCCGTCTCAGAGGCCGGTTGCTGGACGCTACTTCTTTTCTTCTTTTTCCTTCAAGGTCAGCTGCTGGGCCCCGCTGGGGGCGCAGGGGTCAGGCTCAGCAGTATGAAGCTGTCGCAGCCACTGTGGCCCGAGTGCGACCCCCGACCCCCAGCCAGGGAGTGACCCTTGGGCACTGCCTCCTGCTGCCTCCTGCTGCCCCTCCGCAGTGTGTCCCAGTGGGTCCACCTGCTCTGCCCCCCACTCTGTCTCCGGGGAGTCCTCTCACCCCCTCCCCACACCTCTGGCCTGCACCCCAGTTCTTGTCGGCATAAATACATAAAAATATTTAAGAAGGTGGGCAGCGGGTCCTCCGTGTCGCTCTTCCCCGGCTGGGACGGCTCCTCAGCGCCTCAGGCTCTGGCTTACATCCTCTCTCGGGGTGCCTCACCCCAAGTCTGACCGGCCCATTTTTCAGTCCTGCGGCTACCAGGGAGGCTGCTGGTCGGGGGGGGGGGAGCCGCAGCCAGAGCTGGCCTGGGGGGCAGCAGGGGAGAGGCCCGAGGCGCCCCGGCATCAGTGTGGCTTCCGCGAGGCCGCATGGCTCCCCCGGACAGAGCAGCCGAGGGGCCCGGAGTCGCTCCACGTGGCCAGACGGCCGCCCACTGGGGAAGGAAACTGCCGGGCGTGAGGCGCGGTCCCTGGGGAACCAGGCCTGGACTTGGGGCGTCCACCCTGAGCCCAGACCTCGGTGCAGCGAGGGCAAGACGCTGCGGCCTGGGCAGGTTCCTCCACCAACTCCCCATGCAAACTTGGCCCAAGGGCCCCCATGGACGTGTTCACCAGGAGATGGAGCAGCTGTCGGTGGCCCCAGGACGGACCGAGGCTCGATCGCGTGCAGGCGCCGCCCTGGGGCAGTAGCAGGGCTGGAGCGTGGGGACACGTCTCCAACCAGAGAGGCTCATGCAGGGGATCCAGCTCCTGGGGCCTCGCGGGGCCCACGACGGGTGCAGCCCGGGGTGGGGGTGGGGGTGGGGCCGGGCCCACCCAGCCCCCCCGGGGACACTCAGGCCGTGTCCCCCGGGCCCTCCACTGGCACCACAGCCACGTCTGCTCCAGGGCGCTCAGGGCCCAGGCGCTTAGAAGAGGCCTCAGGCCCCAGAGGGCCCTGGCACACGCCATGCCAGGTCACGTGCGGCCCAGATGGGGCGGGCAGCCTGGGCCCTCCAGAGGAGCTGAGCGGAGCTGCCCGCACGTCCGCGGGGGTCACCGTCTCCCAGGCAAGCCCCGTGCGAGCACCTGCCCCACAGCACCGATTCTGAGGCCTGGCCCTGGCGCTCACCGGCTGTGACCTTGGAAAAGTCATCGAACCGCCAGGCACAGCCCCCACCCTGGCTGGGCGCGCCTGCCTGAGGCCGCGGGGCGCGTCACCCACACCCACCCAGAGTGCCCCAAATCTGTTTTCCCAGTGCCCGTTCTGTAGCAGGAAGAAAAAGCCAACGTGGGCGTCAATGAGAAATGGCCTCCCAGCTTGTGAGGGTTTGGGGGGCAGGGAGGTACACGAGTCCTCGGCCGCGCTACCCCAGCTGTGTGCCTGCGGCTGCCTCGCTCCCGCCCTCGGGGGCCCAAGGAGCCTCTGAGGAGAACAGAGTCATCCAGGTACCTGCTGCAGAGGCTGCACCCACCCAGGCCACGTCCACCCAGGAGCACCCGCGTTCAAGGGTCTCAGGAAAACCCTCAGCAGGAAACGGAACCCTCGGTGGCAGGTAAACAACCGACAGACCAGGTGTGCACAGGTGGGGGGTCCGAGGCGGGGGTCAGGGAGGGCCAGGGCGAGGACACCCACCCCACTGCTGGGTCTGACTCTCAGTCTGCCTTCCTTGTGCTTCCGTGACCTTGGACAATTCGCCTGAATCTGTGCGTATCCGCCTGTCTCCTGTGCCTGGGAGGAGGCCGGCCAGCGCCCTAGGGCAAAGCTGGGCTCCGTGCCCGGAGCTCCGAGGGGCGAGGTCGCAGGCCCACGTGCCACGGTCAGCGGGCGCACATGGGCGCAGGACACCGGGCAGCCTCCTGCTGTGCAGATGGCGCAGAGGTTAGCGGCCAGCGGAGGAGGGCAGAGGCCCAGGCCACAGGCCAGCGGCGCCGCATGCTGGCACTCAGCCATGTGGAGCCCAGTCTGACTGCCGACCACCGTGTCCAGCAGGAAGACACTGTCCCCTGCCTGCCCCGCAGAAACCAGGGGACGGGGTTTCTGGAAAGCAAGGAGAGACCCTCCGTGGTCACCCGAGAAGAGTGGGTGCCGGCTGCAGCCCCTGCCGCGCCCTCTGTGAGTCCAACGGTCCTTCTGAGTGAGGCAAAGGGCTGGCTGCAGGCTCCAGGAGGCAGGGCAGAAGCATCTCTGCGGCCAGGGTCAGCCCAGCCCCGCCCCGGCCAGGACCAGCCCGAGAGCGAGCCCCGGCTGTGAGGACGCAGCTGGCAGGGGCCAGAGGCCTTCGTTTCTGCAAGCGCTGCCTGCGGCAGTGGGGCTGGCCTCGCCGAGGCTGCACAGGCTCCGGAATCCCACACGATCTGCAGAGGGTGCAGAGCGGGGCTGCGGGCAGGGTGCACCGCAGGGGCAGCGCAGATGTCCGCCCCCAGACCATCTCTGGCAGAGAACTGCAGAGAGTGGGAATCATCGGGGAGAAAAGGCCTGTCACTCCCAAATTCTGCCAAAAGAAAGACCAAGACGACAAAGGCGTAAGAAAAACCTCTTTGCACCTTTCAAGGGACAATCGGACGCAGGCCGCGCCTGCCGGGGGGCACGCAGAGGGTCGGCGCCGCTCTTTGAGCCGTAATTAGTGGTAACGGGGCGAAGCCGCGCAGAGCACAAAGCCACGGGGACGAGAAGCGGGTCCGCTGGGGGGGTCGGGAGGGATAAAGGCCAATTACTGGCCAGACGGGACGAAACACAGGACGGGCTGAAAGGAACCCGCCCTCCGGGGGGCCCAGCCCAGAGGTCCCCCCAGAGAAAGACAACGGGCACCAGGCCCACGGGCCCTGGAGGAGGGCGCCCCGGCAGAGCGGGACCGTTCACCCCGAATCGCGCACTGAAAAGGCAGATGAAGAGCAGGGAGGGCCCCGCGAGCGTCGGTGGCCAGGCCGAGGGCGCCTGCCCTTTGCTGCGCTGGCCGCGTGTCCTGACGCCAGAGCTTTGCGGGCAGCGGGACCCGGGAGGCGTCTGCGGCCACAGAACTGCCCGCTGGCCTGGCCAGACTCAGGGCACACGTGTGGAGGGGCGGGCAGGCCCCTCAGGGCAGACACCGGAGGAGCCGCCACCGTGTGGCCCAGGTGCTGCCAGCGGTCTGCAGACAGTGACCCGGAGGCCGCCTCCCGCTCGGCCACGGCCGCAGGCAGACACGCGGTCAGGGTTGGTCTTGAAGACGCTCAGCCCGTCCAGCCACGCCGCCTCCCGGGGAGGGAAGAGGACTGTCCCGCCCCCGCAGCTCAGGCCCCGCGGGAAACCTTTACATGTCACCAGCGACAACACACATGCACTCGCGCCACCCACGTGCTCCCACGCACAAGGCGGGCGCCCGGGCGCGGGCCCCCTGGAGCAGGCTCCGGAGACCCCAGGCTGGGTCTGACCGCTGGGCGGGGGCTCAGCTGACCATCGTCGGGGCGGGCACCCGGCGCCTCCCCCAGCCCGGCGCGGCTGGGTGGCGCCTCGTGAGTCCATGGGAGATCGCCTGCCGGAGCAGTGCCCGGACGCACGACG